GTGTGTGTGTGTGTGTGTGTGTGTGTGTGTGTGTGTGTGTGTGTGTGTGTGTGTGTGTGTGTGTGTGTGCGAGAGAGAGAGAGAGAGAGAGAGAGAGAGAGAGAGAGAGAGAGAGAGCGCGAGCGAGAGCGAACTACTGAGACCGCGCTAGGCAAAGACCGTGCCCATATTACTACCAAAATACGTCACTACAATAAAGTGTTATTTATTCTGTACCTACAATCACTACTATCTATCACCTTCCCCTTAATATATATAACCCAGCTATAATCCCTCCTTTGGCGAGCGCTGTTTCCTCTTCTCTTCCCATTTTACTCCCCTCTTACTATAGCTCCTTATTGATAGTTTCCCCCACTACCTCTACTATAATGTATCGCGAGTGCCCCCTCCTCCTCGCATCACACACACGAATCTCTATCTGGTCCGTTCCTCTCTCGTGTGGCTCTTTGCCGACAGCTCGCACGCGCCCTGCTTGGGTCTGGATTAAAAAAATGCGCATGAAACATGACAATTTCTCATGAAAATATCCTGAGCAGATGATAGCATATTGTTATGTGTTGTTGTGCGTTATTATATACTCTTAGAAACATTACTACTTTTTTTTAGTAATTACCATTTACATATGTAGGCGAGTCCGGGGGTGTAACATATAGTACTAGTAATGAAGCCTTTGTTTGGATATTCGTGGCTGAATGCAACTTCGCGTGGTATACAATGTTCTTACACTGATTATTCTGTTAAATAATGCAGGCAGACAATATCGCATGAATCGTAAATACAAGTCAATCAATTTTTGTAATGAAAGTCATTCGTACATAAAATTTTACTGCGATTATGGAAAATTTCTCGGGTCATTAATAAACCATCAGGTAATAGAAGAGCGTTTTAGCGGCTGGCGCGTGTATAGCGCGTGTCGATAACAAACTGTGAGAGTTCATACGGCAGCCATCTTGACTGAAGCTGAGTCAACAACCGAATAGTGATCGATGTTGAATCAGGAAATTACTATTATCGGCTAACCATTTGCCCGCGTGCTTACTCGACAGTGCGTTTCCCCTCTCGGTGTATGACGTATACGCTCGCTGGGATTCGACGTTGAAACAAGCGTCCCTCTGATGCGGCGTCCGTGTATAACTCCACCTCCATTGAGCCAGAGTAAATGTCTAGCTAAACGCTCGCTCACTTTATCGTATTTTGGTGGTAATATGCGCAGGGTCTTTACCTAGCTCGGTCTCAGTAGTTCGCGCGGCCGCGCTCTCTCGCTCTCTTTCTTTCTCTATCTCTTTCTTTCGCGCGCTCTCTCTTTCTCTCTCTCTCTCTACCGCTCGCTCACTCGCTCTCTCTCTCTCTCTCGCTCCCTCGCTCGCTCGCTCGCGCTCTCTCTCGCTCGCTCACTCGCTTCATATTTATTGCTACATTGCTTCTATGTAGAAATGTATCACTGTGCAATGTTAATACAATTAAATGTAATTATTATAAAAGATATTATTGCGTTATATATAATTGTAATAATTATAAAATATATTGTATAATGTATTTAATTTAAAACATTAAAGTGTTTTATGAGATAGCATAGACACAGATTTATAAGCTACGAATTAAACAGCGAAAGGGGATTACATCGCGTATCCGCGTGTTTTATTATTAAACACGAATGACCCGAGCTCAGAGCAAGCGAGTGATATTATTGTTAAATTTTCAATAATTTAACTAACTGATATACGTGTGAGAACTGTGTTTACGCATGCGCTTATTGATTTGAGTAAAATGCTTTACTCGTTTTAATTAATCAACATTTGCAGCGCAGCTCTTTATGACGTGGTAGAGAACAAAGCTTTTTTTGGGGGGGCGGTATGGTTTTTAACCACATGATCAATCATTATTATATCCGGAGTCAATAATAGATTATTGATTAGTCTCTATTATCACTATTAATCTCTATTATTCACTCCTGATTATATTACAGATATGCACTTCAAAACAGTGCGACCAAAAATATCTTGTACGACCCCTGACTGATAAAGGTTTGACATTTTGCACCTTCAAACACTGCTATCGTAGAAACCCTCACTAACAAAATATACAATATTGACATCTATTTTTACCTTGCACTTTCATGAGAAGAATGCGCATGCACGCAGCGTCTGTGGTGATAATGTTCGAATGATGACAATATAATAATTGTTAAATTAATTTTATTATAATAATGATAAAGGTTAGATCATCGCGGACAAAATATATCTTTAATAATACTAATGTACATCAAGTTCGCGTAGTATGGTGCGTGTGTGCGTGCGTGTTATCGTGCGTGCGTGTGAGCGGGTGTGTGTGTGTGCGTGCGTGCGTGTGAGCGTGCGTGTGTGTGTGTGCGTGCGAGCGTGCGTGCATGTACGCTTGTCCGTGCGTGTGTGTGCGTGTGTGTGTGCGTGTGTGTGCACGTGTGCGTGTGTGTGTGTAAGTACGAACAACACAGACTGGCTAAAAGCTGACTATCGGGTTGACAGCAAACACGCAGAAGCTCTCAGAAGTTCTGTCATGGATATGTACAAATGCATCATCGGGGGAAACGAAGTGGGCTGTCGAGAACGAAGTCGCATGCATGTATGCAGCAACCAGCCATCTATATACGAAGGCACACGTGAATAACCAGACACGAATATATGGCATACACGCCTATACGAAAGCACACACGCCCACGCGCTTATGCAGTCACGCGCACACGTACGCACACGCGCACATGCATGCAAACATGTTTGTGCGAGCACATCTTTTAAATAGTTGTTTATGTAATTCTAACTATAGTGCTATTTTTCTCCATCGTATTTTTGTACCGATAGCGACATTATACGTGTGTGACTGTCTGATAATGCTGTCTATCTAATACCTATATTAGCGTTTTCAGCAGTAGTACGAAGCAGTAGCTGTGGGTAAATTATTACATACACATATATGTCATGCAATATATACACTCTCTTATCACCACTCTCTCTCTCTCTCTCTATTCTCTCACTCGCTCTCTCTCTCTCTCTCTCTTTCTATCTCTCTCTCCTCTCTCTCTCTCTCTCTCTCTCTCTCTCTCTCTTTTCGCTCTCTCTCTCTCTCTCTCTCTCTCTCTCTCTCTCTCTCTCATCTCTCTCTCTCTCTCTCAGTCTCTCTCTCTCTCTATCTTTCGCTTTCTCTCGCTCTCTCGCTCTCTCTCATTATCATATTTACAATGTAGCGTAACGATGCCACAAGTATATA